CGGGTTTAAAAACAAAATTGCGTAATTAGTTTGATTTAGAACTTTCGGGTCACGCAAATAGCTACGCGAAATGCATAGTGGGAAAATATTGACCAATCAAATTGTGTCCTTTTTGAGTCCTTTTTCCAGTCTCCGAGCCTTTCGTCCAGTGCCATCCGTACCTCCTGTGCCTTACCTCATGCAGATCTTTAAATTCCCGCGAAATTTACCCTTCTAAATATTTTGACCTGCTTCAAAAAATATATTTCTTTGCGTTTGCTACTGATTTTATTCGGTATATTTTATAAAATGTTTATTTCTAATGTAGTAAGAATTCATTCATAAGAAAAATATTAAGTAATTCGTAGCAAACTGTTAAAAATGAATACTTAGGAATTTGCAAGGTCAGAAATTGTTTATTAACACCGTTGCTATGCAGTTCGTTTTGAAGTGACGTCATCCCCATATTCGTTATTTTAATCGTCTAATAAACGAATACCACATGTCGATGTGATGTTTTAATCGATAAAATTGAATTTCTTACATATTTTTTTATCTTGTTGTTAGATAACACGTTATGATATTGGTGAACTCGCCAGAAATTAACATAATATTCTTTGAAGCGTTTTTGGAAATTTTGACACCGCCATCTTGAAATCGTGTAGTAATATTGAACCCAGTGATTATCGATCTTGACATTTTACAATTTGTTGCTCCGCGGAGATTTTTACCTAAAAACACATCAAATACAACATTGATTACCAATTTCGATGGTAAAATCATTTGTAAACGTTATAATCAATTGAATATCAAAGTTTTGGCGTTGTTGATTTCGTAATAAAGAAAGTACTAATTTCTGAAGCTTTCTAAGATCGTGCCCCGGGAATTTTAGAACTATTTTAACAACGTCAGAGAGGTAGTGAAGGTACGCAACGAACGAAATGAATTTTGAGAATGTCCTTTTTCAGTACATATTTGCGAACGTTCTGATTCAAAGAGCAAACCGCGAAAGGGAGAATTGAATTATTTCCTCCAATCCCAGGACATCATTTTTGCAAACAAGAGCATCAATACTCTAGGCTTGCAGTAATACGTTTCAAACATAATAGTCTATTAACTCAAACGAAGCTAGTGATGATTACTTGTTGTATTCTTTAGGGTAACATAATTTGAAATTTTAGCGAGTCGAATTTCAAGCTCGGTTTCACCCAAAAATATAAAATGTCAATTACGTTCAATTAAATAACTACTAGTTCATCAAATTATGACATTAAAATATCTAAAAGGTAATTCTTACGACTAAGCTGTGCAAAATAATGCAATTTTAGTAGACCTTGCGTTGTCATTCTGTTTTCATTCTCGGAAATACATCAAAAAGGCAAGACACGGTAGGATGCAGTGGATGTTAAACCACTGATAGAATAAATGAGTAGCTCAGATGCCATTTTTGTGTCGCTCATTAATATATGCACATCAGATCGATACGCCATCCAATCAATTTGCAGAATATTATCAAGCGAACAATCACGAGCACATGTTTCCTAAGAACTGTGCATTGTGGAAATGGCAGTCATCTATGTTGATTTCATTTGAACATCATAAATTCTTAACCCCCCCCCCCCCACCTATCACACCAAACTAGTTCTCGACCGTAAAACGGGCTAAATCTGGCACCGACATAGAGCGACATGAACGAACTGCGAATGAGATGGACGTATTGAAAACTGTTTGTGAACGAAGTACCTAATCATTTAAGACATATTTCCCGTCCACAACCATATTTAGCCCCTTTTATGACTTTTGTAGGACTGGGAAGACTCGTAACTCGAGAACTAGTTTGGTATGATAGGGAGAGGGAGGTAATATCATTTCAGTTACGCCATCTAAACTTTGTGAGAACATTCAGAAAGCAACAATATACTCCTCCAGGAGTTCTACATTGGCCTGCCTTTTCAGCTTATCTGAATCAATCGTTATATATTGTACGTACATGCCAATCTTACCGCACTACAAACTGCAACACCGATGCAACAACTGAATAAAAGTATTGGTAGTGAAATAAGTATTGTGTTTTTGAAAAACTTAATCAACTAGCACCAGTAATCAATGTTGGTTTGAAACAAGCTTTTGTTTGAAACATGTCTCAAGCGACTCAAGTGACATCTTTCAATAATTTTCCGAATTAATTTTGCATTTATCATTCTGAGATATTTCTAATAATGTTTAAACGTTTATTGACTTAATTTTTGAATGTTTGAGATACTCTAATGTACATTGTAAACACATTTTTACAACATAATCGGAGAGAATACTCACATTAATTAAAGATACAGAATGCCATTGATTTCTCTCTCGGACAATATGAGTATATCCCATTATAATGGCTTAATAATATGTGACATGCCTTATATATGTCTCTGGATATATCTTGAGACCAAGTTATGGGTCAGCATAGTACTATTGCCAATATATTAAGAAAATCAACAGAACAACCAACTGTTATAATTGAACACAATTGAGATTAATCGCCTTAATCAAGAGAAACCCCAGTCAAGTGACAGGATAACACAAGCGTCGGCAAACTGGGCACGTGCCTTAAACCAGGCAGTCAATCAGATTCAAAGCTAGATTTGGGGCTTCTTCGTTGGTAAAGTAGACACTGTAGGTGAATATGTGGTACGGCCCAACATGCCAAGAGGGTCTTTATTGTGCCTTCCAATCGCAACATCCCTCTATAAATGAATATTATTTCCATACTCAATTAATTTTACTTCGCTTTTAGTCATGTCTCGTTTTGGTTTTCAATTTGATCAACAAGAATGATAAAGATCAACAATATTCCCTCCCACTCACTTCTTCCCGAAATATCCTCGATTGATCACCTATCCAAATACACACCATATAATTTAGAGAGCTTAAACACCTAAATGTATCACGAAAATCTAAATTAAAACGTCATTCGTAGTTCCAATCAATTTCACACTACTTTGATGTATTTGACCTATGAAATAAACAACCCAACGTTCAAAAATATGTAATTTGTTCAGTAATTTTCATGATCTCAATTAAAGCTACACACCATCAAAGCTTGTTTAAGCCGTTAATCTGCTTAACATGATACACCCTTTATTAAACGCTGTCTCGTTTGTGTGATGTCGGATTCTTACGCTTCTCTCAACTTGGCAACATAAAATTTTCCTTGGATCTATCGATAGTATATTCAGTCTGTCGACAATTTAATGCATTTTGTTACGTCACCACCAAAAGTGATGACATATTTTAATGGTCTCCGATTTTTGTGACGGTGGTTGGCGTCCGGTGTCCGGTGATTGGTTGTTGGTTGTTGGCGTCCGGCGCCTGTAACAAATTCTTACAACTTCATTTAACTTAAATACTGTTTAGACTGATTTTTTCAAAATCATCTAGAAGTTCTCAGAGGTTCAAATAAGACTTAAGATTTGAGATTTGACCTTCCAAAACCTTCTCAATGTCAAAAAGGTAGATTTTCAAATTGCTGCCAATTGACCTATTTTTCAAAAGCATCTACAAGTTCTAAGAAATTCAAATCTGACTTAAGATTGAACTCATAATACTGTGAGCAACTACACAGTGGCATTTTGTCATGTTTAATTACAATAGTTCGGAAATCTATGACTTTCATTATTATTGCATAAATAGATCATACAAAAGTTCTTTTAAAGAAGTTCTCATTTGGAAGATATCAAAATATGTGTTTCTGCCTATTTTACACATTATTTTGTACCATATTCGTCCTTATTAAATATTTAAACAGAATATTGAAAATGGTCTTTAAATTTTGAAGGTCAACTTAATGAAACCTGTTAACAAAACCTAACCATCTGTACACCTTTGTTGTTGAGATAATTGCATTACGGCATCATTAGTTTAGAAAAATTATGAAACTAATCAAACATCACACATAATGATCAATTGAATTATATAATTTACGGAGTTGAAAATGTCTAGATGACTAACGTAAAATACAGTACTATAATGTCAAAACTATTAATTAATTAATTAAGTAGGTTTATTGTGCGTAAACATTTAAAATAGGTCCACAAACAAACTTCGCACTAACTTAAATATATTTGCCGTTTTCCCCAGGTTGAATAAAAACAAATGATACGATGAAGTAGATTGATCCTTGACAAAAAAGTTTAAGTAGAAATTAAATATCCTCCAAGATGAAGCTGTAACAGGGATAGCTGTCGCAGAGTTGTTGTAAGATGTAAGATGGTGTGTGAGAGTAAACCAGATGATCAGATGTTTAAAAACTTCTTTAGGTCGCGTATCGCAATCAGTCTAATTTAACAGGCCAGCATCATCTATCTGCTCCCCGTCTTTACTTGGGACTATCAAAAGGGAGATACATACTATTTTGAGATATAAAGATAATTCATGGACTCTTGTTGTATTATACCACTGTTTTTTAAGTTTCAAATTCTACATGTTCACTTACATATAGGTATTACGTTCCCTATAGTTTGATTATACTTTAAATCATCTAAATTATATGAAAGTAATTGTACTTCGTAACCGTTCAAAACATTGCTTTTTGACAAAGAGATTACAAAAGTAATTCACGATCAATTCTGTCAGACCGAATAATCAATATTTGCACTTATGTTGATTTTCATAAATATGAACTTCCATTTGAAACCTTATAACAAACCAACGCTGACAATGATAAGACTTGTCATTTTGGTGCTTTGTTTCGTTTTCTTTGGAAATACAGAGGGGATAGGAGATTCCTGCCCGTGTCCTGATGAAGTGGATATTAAACCCCCAGATGAGAACAACCCATCAATATTCCAAGAGTTGACGAAATTGGAGATAGATGGAATTTTGAAATATCTTCAAAATGACTCCGGGCTGAATGTCAAACTCGGTTACAAGGCAAATATATCCGATACAATCGTATATGTAATCGAAAAGAAACCCACTCCAAAGGATGAAGTTTTGAATCATATTGATCGTCATGGCCGGAAGCCAATTCGAGAGTCAAGAGTCGTATTAGCCACGTCATCTGGAATGAGTGAATATACCGTAGGGCCGTTACCTAAACCAACATACCATAGAAAAACAAAATACCCAAAATGGAGAAAAACGGATTTTAAATTCACAGATCGTCCTTGGCTCATAGACTCAACTGCTCTTACAAGAACCATTCAACGGGAAGGAAGAAAGATGAAGCAACTCCTTCATGAAAGTTTCAATGGATTTGATTTTGAAGATGACTGCGGTAACAAATGTCTTATGTATCATGATTTAAGACTGAAAGTCTTCCAGGGCAGTAGATTACTATGGGCTAATGTTATGAGAGTAGTTCCACCTTCGGTAGGTGCTCGATATGAGTATCCACTACCACTTCAGATTCTCGTGAACATGACAAGCAAAGACGCTGATTTATGGAACGCTGTCCAAGTTTGGTACAATGGTCAACATTTCGATTCTACGGATGACTTAATGACAAAGTACATTAATGGGTCAGTAACAAAGATTGTCATGTCGTACAATGAATCAGATGTGTACTCCTCTATGAAACGAAGAGGAACTGGTAAAACCAAGAGCACAAATAGAGGACCAGATTGTTTTCCGCAAGATGGCAGACGATACTCAGTCGATGGACATCGTGTCAAGTATATGGACTGGGAGTTTGAATTTACTTACAGGCAAACCACAGGTCCGCAACTCTTTGATGTACAGTTTAAAAAGGAAAGAATTGTCTATGAATTGAGCTTACAGGAAATATTATTGTCATACACAGGGACGACACCATACGGCAGTCAAGCGGGTGTTTTCTTTGATAGCGAGGCTCTTGTTGGGAACTCATTTTCACCTCTGTCCCCTGGCGTGGATTGCCCAAAAGGCGCAACTTACTTCGATAGTTCCATTTTTTCATTTATATTTGGAGAAAAAGTTGTAATCCCGAACTTATTTTGTATCTTTGAATATAGAGATGACCAAGTTCTGAAACGTCATTATGACAACAATTACGGTGGAGGGTATGAATTCTACGGCGGTATGCCAAACAATGCCCTCGTTCTTAGAAGTATCATTTCAAGTTATAATTATGATTATACAATTAGCTTCATTTTCTACCAGAACGGTGTGATAGGTACCAAAGTTTCAGCTTCTGGATATGTCTTATGTGAATTTACTCATCATAATGTGCCAATAGAAGACCTGCTTGGATTTAAACTACATGAAAATGTATTAAGTATGTTCCATCAACACCTGTTTAATTTCAAAGTTGACATGGACATCTTAGGAGAAAGCAACAGTCATGAAACGCTTGCTATTAAAGTCAGACCAGTGACTCATGATGTAGTCAGTGGTATTCAAGAGGAGACATATGAACAGTTTCTGAAGAGGAAGCAAAAAAGCTCTGAAAGACAAGCTGCCTACAGGTTCCAATACAGTAAACCAAAATACTACCTCTTCTACAACAACGGAGCACGAAGGAGTAAATTAGGATACAAGAGAGCATATTACCTAGACAACCAAGGTGTAAGCAAATTCCTGTTTCCAGATAAATGGTCAAAAATGGGCTCAGCAGCATGGGTAAAGTATCAACTTGCGGTCACAAGACGCCACGTAAGTGCAATCCATTGATTTACTTACTTCTAGCATGACTGTGTGTTTTTACAAGTCTTTGTTTCTGTTATGTTTGATTTTTCAAGTAAATTTAAATCAAACGTGTCTTAAGGTGTCCTCTCGTTTTTTCACTTAATCTTTAATTCAGATGTTGTTTACAAATAATACTAATGGTAATACTTGGTTGAAATAAATATATAATGAAGATCGAAGAATGCTGTTTTTACCACCCTGTGTGAGCTGTGCTTAAGTAAGTTTATAGTTCTGAGTAAACTTAAAATTTGCTATCGTAAACCCTCGAGAGAAGATTAAGTAAGATCGATTTAAAAAAGATTATTTTCAGGATGACGAGGATACAAGTACAACACCTTACAACGCTTTTGACCAGGTGGATCCCGTTCTGAATTTCGATTCCTATATTTTCGATGATGAAAATATAACAGACAAGGTATTGTAGTTGCTTATATATATATAATGCTTACCCATAATCAGTATATTTTCTATTCGGAACTATACAGTGAGTGGGATAATACAAACAGAATCTACCTCGTTGATATTTCAAAATAGTAGTTAATTACTTGTCATTGATATCTCCCTTTATATTTTCAATATCTTTAATGTTAAGACGAAGTCGCCCAGTTGACATACGCATAGCCCTTCATAATTATTAATTTTTAGGATCTGGTCGCCTGGGTTACTGTTGGCATGCAACATCTTCCCAACTCTGCGACGGATGTCCCTGTTACAACAACATCTGGAAGTGCACTAAGTTTCTACTTAAAACCGTTCAACTTTTTTGACGAGGATCCCTCTACCTCCTCGTACGATAATGTTTTTATAGCACCTGGAGAAAATGGTGAAGCTGTTGTTGAAGAGAACGAAAATAATGCGAAGGAAAGCTGCTCACATCCTAATGAAGATCCAAACTTTGTTGGAGAATATTGGGATAAGCAATGATTAAGACTACAGAAACATGGCTCAAAGAAAATGGTGAACAAAATTTTTTTAATGAATGGCTTTTATTCTGAATTTGTTTCAAGACAGGATCGGATTGGTGGAGGGGTGGGTATATTTATTCGCGATAGCATTAAGTACAAGCTGAGACCAGATCTAACAATTGAAAATGACTATAATACCCAAGCACTTACAGTTGAAATTGAGCAGTCAAATGACAAAAACATATTAGTTTCAGTTATCTATAAACCCCCTGATGTTGATATTAGCCAATTTAATAAAGATCTTACACAATTTAAGCATACATAATGGCTATACATTAAAAAGTGAATGATATCTATTGTTTTAGCGCATTAATGACATCATTCTGATCAAGCAAACTGATTTCCTGAGAGAAAGATAAAGATTATGATTGGAAATGAGGATTGCGTTGACGAAGGCATTCTACTTTAAGGCAATAATGCCCGTTTGCCTCTGATGACAAGGCCCACACCAAGCCATTCGTACTCGCCAATTTGTACCAATGGTTTTCTAAGTGTCGCACAGTGAAAGCGTTGCCAGGGTACTGTTGAGTTTTCAGTTTCATTTTACAACTGACACAAGTTGTAACATTTCCTTTAATAAGTATCACGTCGTAATGATTTGAATGTATGCCTGGTATTGGGGGATGGATTTGAGGAAAGCTATGCTGTTGCCCATGTTGAAAATGGTGTGATAATGTTATGTCAACAGATGCCAGGTTTTGCTTATACTGTAAAAAATGTTGTGTATTGTGTTGTGCAGGTTGTTGTACTGTTGTGCATGTTGTTGTGTATGGTGTTGTACATGTTGTATGTGGTGTTGTGCATGTTGTGTGTGGTGTTGTGCATGTTACTGTGTATCTTGTTGGTGTTGTGGCTGGTGTTGTGCATGTTGTTGTGTATTGTGTTGTGTATATTTCTGTGCATGTTGGGTATGTTGCTGTAAATTTTGGTGTGCGTGGGGCAATTGTCCAGAATGATGTTGAGATGTGGTAGCTTGTCATGATGATGGTTGGGGTGGCTTAATTTCTCCATGTATGCCACTGGGTGCTGCGCACTCATATTCGTTCCTCCCTTTCTTCGGCTAGTTGCTTTCATATGTTTAGTACCCCTATTAGTTGGCATATCTACTGTCGCAAGTGCGTGGATATTTGCTTTCCTGTACCCTTTCTTTTTAAATACCTTTAAGAAAGAGGAGAGTGATTTACACCTTTCCATCACTGCAACTGTGTGGGAACATATATCAAAGGTAACATAATTAATACAGTTTTTATCACAAGCTGCTGTATTATTCTTTACCATCACTGTGTGGGGTTTGTTGGAATCGTGTCCTCCCACAAAATACTTATTTTGTTCCTGGCCAGGATATGGGACGATATCTGTCCTATTGTTGAGATTCCCAGCCTTACAAAATATTTGATTTAGGGTAGAGAATGGCACAGATATAATACCACTCTCAGTTACACTGACAGAGAGGTTTAGTGTGTCAGGTGCGGAGATCGGACTCGGTGATGCTATTTCAAATTTAGATTTTAATGGTGACTTAAGAACTTTGTTCGGGAAGTTTTTCTTACTCAGTTCTGTGGTCATTCCAAATCAACTTGGCGCTGCTGACGCTCTACAAGACGCTGGAGGTGTGTAACTGCTTCAAGCAATGTGAGCTTTCTGGAAGTAAGGTCACGCTTGACTGCACTAATTGAGACTTTCATTTCCATTATGTGTATAATTGACTGGAGGCCATCCAAGGCCACACATGGAACGGATGTCCGCCCTCATACTGTCTAGTCAAAGAACTCATGGCCATTTACATGCCTTTCACACCACTCTTCCCTAAGGCGTTCCAGCTCAATCTTAAGTTCAGTTTCACTACAACTATCAATCAGACCCCTTTTCTTAATTGTACCAATACAATTACCAAAAATGTCATGAATGTACAGTTTTGCGATATTTCGTGGGATGCTCAAGTTTTTTTTAATGATATTGTCCCTCATATGAATATCACATTTAAGGTACAATATCTCCAAAAAGATTCATTCACGATATGTGGTAAAAATGGTGACGTTATAATGGATTCAAAGTGAAAAATAGGTGAAAATATTTAAATCCTCCCAAATAATAATGAGAAATAATTCACTATTGCAAAAAACTTAGTTTTCCTAATTGTGCGATTGTGGCATAAACAAGCCAAAAAGAAGATATATTTTGAATTTTACAAAAAATGATGCACCTTCCTTCAACATTGAGCTAGAACCTTCAAATAAAAAGCATTTTAAAGTTCCTTTTTCTTCTTTCTCATGGTTTTATTTTTATTGGCGGGGGTGTGATTGTCCCTTTGAATTGCATATCATTTACATCTTACTCTCCATTTCATAAGTTTGGCAACCTTAGCTCCCCCATTAAAATCCGTGTTAAAGCTTCTTTACCTTTGAATTTTTAATTACTTTACCTGCGATGAAAATACTTATAAAGGGTGGGCCAAAAGAACGCCACTTTTTTTTTCATTTTTTCTTAATTTCTGAGACAAAATCATAATTTGCATACCAAATGAAACTTGAGGTTGTTAGATCATGTTAGATCATCATCATAGATCATGAATTATACACTTTTACTTGAATAAAATATGTCACCAGCACTTAAACATGTGGTGTGCCATGAGAAATAAGCATAATTTGCAAAATATTCCTGAAGTGATTCGACCTGATCATCGCCAAGCTAATAGCCCTGATGCAAACCCAAGTGAGTATAGGGTATGGGAAGGTCTCCAGGAGATTGTATGAAGGCACCCCATCTAGAAAATTGCTCAACTAAAGCTGGCAATTAAGACAGGTTGAAAAAACTTAGCTAACATTTCATTGATACTGCATGTTATATCAGCAAGGCGACTAAAACTAAAATATATCATCAAATAGAATGGGGGACCAATTGAACTCCTCTTTTAGATCAAATATAATCCAAGTTTAAGGACTTTTTACATTATATTATTACTAAGAACCCCTGGCACTATATAACTGCAAAATTTGGGGTATGTAGGTTGGAAAATAAAAAAGTTGTAGCGTCTTGAAAAAAAGTGGCGGTTTTTGGCCCACCCTGTACTATTAATGTTAACCGTAATTTGATTTTATTTCCAATAAGGACCTCTGTCACATAATTGGTTATATTTCTATATGGGGTTGTTAAAAATGGTGCTATTATTTATCATTTTGTTGCAAATTAAGTTATCTTTAATATGATATATCATTGTTGGCGTGATTGTTAAAAAATAAATATTTATCAGGAATATTGGCTAGAGGGGTAGTTTTTTGGCCCACCCTGTAATTGTTACCGTAGCAGATAAAAACTTGCTTGTAGCTAACAAATAAACTGACCGTCATTTTATATTGCCTCATTGCCAGCATTATATATTTATACTGCGTGGGAGTATCGTTTCAGATAGGCATGCATGGCTAGGCTGCGTCATCTCTATCCACCGTGATATTATCATTCAAAAAATGTATAGGTCATCTCCAAGCAAAATAAAACAAACCCCCTCATTAATTAAAATTAGCAATTAACAAAACAGAGTCGTCTGTTTTCCTTTACTGGGATAATATTGGATCATTAGGAAAGAAATGTTATAGTAATTGAATGTCACATCAAAAATAATTGATTGAATAATGCAATTAACAAAGTTAAAATATCTAAACCAGTTAGCAGACAAAATGATACTACAGGGTGTCAAAAAACAACGGCACCCCCCTCTACAGCAAAAACTCCTAAATGTTACATGACATGTCATATCTCATTTGAAAGATAATTTAATTCTGGAGTTACTCGTCAAATTTCATTTAATAAAACGTTAAATTAAAAAAGCTATATTGTTTCGAAGTTTGCTACTTTAGTACTTTGTTTGCTACTTTATCACTGCTTTAAGGTCAAATCTTGGAAATGATTAATATGTAGAAAATAGCCCAGATCTCAACTACGCTGAACCTATAGGTTCCATTGTGAAAGACAGGGTAGGGGAATCGATGGAGAGGGGGCCTCTTGAAAATAGATACAGTAAGGATGTATTTCTGAAGAATATGAGGAAAGTGCTTTAAGGATTAGGCAATGCTGAATCTTTCTTTGAATCTTCACTGAAATCATATCCATCCAGATTAGTTGCATTTCGAGTGGCAAGTGGTAGCCATACCAACTACTTATAATTTGCTGTAAATCTGCAAAATTATACCATAAAGAGCTGAAATTTCTCAAGTAACTCCAGAATTAAATTGTCTTTAAAATGGGATATGACACACTATGTAACATGAAGTACATTTTGCTGTAGAGGGGGGGGGTGCTGTTGTTTTTTGACACCCTGTATAATGTCCAAAACGTATTGGGTGAAAACTTGTAAATGGGTAAAACGATGTGTTGTAACAGGGACATCTATAGCAGAGTTGGAAAGTTGTTGCATTCCGACAGGAACCCAGGCGACCACAGATCCTGAAATTATTACTCACTATAACTAACTGCTTTTATAATAGATACTTCCGCAGGCCGTCACGTGCTACCTCTGGACAGCCTTTAAACATTAAATTGTCAGCAGCATTTATCTTCTCGTTTTTAATATTAAAGATATTGAGACTATCAAAAGGAAGATATCAAAAGTGATTTATTGGTATTGTTAAATACAAATGAAATGCATGGAGTCAGTCTTATTGTATTATGCTCACTGTTTTATAAAGACTCGAATACTACAGGTTCACGTTTAGATTTTCTTAATTCCTCCCTATTATATTATTGATAAAACATTAACGACCTCAGTAGCCGGGACAGAATAAATCATCCCTCTCTTTTTCCTGATTACTTTTTCAATTCTCAATATTTTTCAGGATAAACTTTAAATTCCCAACATATATATAACAAAGTTTGTTGAACTCATCAATTTTCATTATAATCATTACTACAGGGTGGGCCAAAAAAATTTGCAGCTTTTTTAAAAGGCTTGAAAAGGATCATAACATTAAGGTATTGACATAAAAATTCATATACAGAAACTTTAGGATATGCATATTTTACCATTCAAATATTTAAGCTAATACTGACTTCAATTTTTTTCAACAGATCTTTGAAAATCAGTGGTAAATTGTTCATGTGTCCAAGATTTACCATTTTTCCTAGAAAATGTGAATTTCTATGATTTTATGTGATTAACAATAACACATTCATTATGTTCTCTAAATCTGCTACAATCTTTTAATTGTTTAACCAATGGCTAGTACAGTTTTATATTAGTATCTACTATGGTATTATTTTATACTGTATCTATTAAATATTTATTTAAAACATGTTCCACGCATCCGCCTTTTACCTTCACTATCACACAGACACAAGGGCGTAACTGCAATGGCGACATCCAGCTATTCCTGTGGTACTTCTTTCCACTTCTCCTAACCTCTTTTAGTTGGTCAATAGTGTGTGGGGATTACCATTAACTGCAATAAACTGCTCCAGGTGCCTCCAGGTGCCTCCAGGTGCCTCCATGTGTGATAGTCACAGGTGTTGGCATTTGGTGTATTGGGCAGCCATTTATAAGGACTAATAAATCTAGAGGTATCATCCTCCAGGTATTCCAAAGTGACCCTTGCCTGATGGCTGGGAGCGATAGTGAAGGTGAAAGGTGGATGTAAGAACATGTGATTAATAAATAATTAATAGATACAGTATAACATAATACCATTGTGAGTAGATGCCGATATAAACTGTCCTAGTATAATAAACAGTTATCAGAGATTGTAGAAGATTTAGTGAACATAATGGATGTGTTATTGTTGATCACATAAAATCATAAAAAGTCACATTTTCTTGGAAAAACAGTAAATCTCGGACACATGAACAATTTACCATCGTTATTCAAAGATCTGTCAAAAAAATTAGAAGTCAGTATTATCTTAGATATTTGAATCGTAAAATATGCCTATCCTAAACTTTGTGTAAATCGATTTTTATGTCAATACCTTCATGTTACGATACTTTTCTAGCCTTTTAAAAAAGTTGCAAATTTTTTTGGCCCACCCTGTATAACTCTACCTCACTAGAAATGATGGCCATTTACTGTCAATGGGTCATTTATCTGTTGTTCTTTGTTGTTAAAATGGAGGACAATTCCAGTAATTTAAGGTGGCATATAACCCTGTTTATTTTTTCGTGAAGCCACTCAGTAAAATTACGATTTCTCTGCACCCTGATGTCCAATTTGCATCCGTGCTCTGTATGCCCCTCTACCTGCTTAATAAGGCAATGTATCTTCAAATAAACCTTAGCCAAGTAGATTAGAGTCTCTGGAACACTTTTGTAAATAGTTTTCACAAGCAATTTTGTTTGTGAATCTCAAATTTTGTCTTCCCGATTTCAGTAATGAATTACGTCAATTTTGCGTGCAAACTTTGGGTAGACGTTGTTATTCCCAAACGCCCAAACATGTCACGAACATATTGATTTTGAATGATCTTGATTGGACATCAGGTTGCAGAGAAATCGTAATTTTACTGAGTGGCTTCACGAAAAAAAGCTATACGCCTCGTTAAGTTGCGTTTGAGTGCTAGCTTAAGCGATGACTTAAATTACATGAATTCTTACTCATGTGTTTCATCTATTTAACATAAATGATAAGATAAAAATATGTTTATTCAATTAAAGATATGTTGTGTAATTTAATGTTTTCTGCTCCTTATCTATTGCCCTAGAATAATTCAATTTTTTGTCTAAATCTCTTTGTGTAGCCGATTGAATATATCACTTGCCCTGAAAGTAAATATGAATGGATGCCTAATTAGATCAGAATTCAAGAAGCAATCTTTTAACTGAATTTGTGCCTAATTAAAACATGGGACAATATGTCTAACAAAAGAATGACAATGATTATTGTTTTCCTTGTATCCATGGCCTAATGGTCTAGATCAGGAAGCCTAAATTCAACTTGCATTTTAAATAACGTCAACGCATGACACTTTGTTAAACAAATGTCAAAAATGGAACATTTTATGTCATATGGTGAATAGCAAAATGGGAAACATAATTTAATGGGAATCATTTCAGACAAAAGACACAAAATTGGTATCTTCGCCGAAAAGGTCCATCGTCGTTTTCCAATGGGATAGAGACCCCGTGGCGTAAATGGTCAATTTTTGTTTCTCCCATTTATATGTGTCGGTTCATAGCCTGGTACGTGTTATGTCCACGGACCCAATCAGAACGCTCTGCTTCGTCACGTGACAAAATATTGAAAATGTCTATACGGACTGAATGAATATCGCATCGTTGATTGGCCGATTGATTTTGTGGCGTCTCGCAAACTCTGCGAGCAACTGCCAGGAGGAGCAATATTTAGAGTGAACTCAGCTGGGATTTATTAACACAGTGGTCGTTAAATCGGGCAGATTAATCAACATGAGGTAGGAACAATCGAAACCTTGTGAATCAAGATGGAAAAGGCCAACATTATCGAAAAGCTGTAATAAGAGGAAATAAGAGAGGGATGACTTGTTCTGTCCTGGCTACTAAGTTTAGTAATACTTAAAATCACCTGAATTGTATGAAGGTAATTATACTCCCTGATCACATTTCAAAATATTGGTTTTGACAAAGATAGATTAGAAAAATTGAGTCGTGAACAGTTAATTCTGTTTTATCTACTTATTATTAGTTATTGATAAGTTATCACGTAAGTTGATTTTTCTAGATAATAACCTTCCATTTGGACGCTTATAAGAAACCAACGCTGAATATGATAAAACTTGTCATTTTGGTGTCTTGTTTACTTCTCCTTGGAAGTAGAGAGGGGAAGGCAGTTACCTGTCCGTGTCCTGGTGATGTGGATATTAAACCCTCTGATGAGAACAAGCCATCAATATTTCAAGATTTGACAAAATTGGAGATTGATGGAGTTTTGAAATATCTTCAAAATGACTCGGGACTGGATGTCAAACTAGGCCACGGGGCAAAAATCTCAGATACAATTATATATGTAATCGAAAAGAAACCCACTTCAAAGGATAAAGTTTTGAATCATATTGATCGTGATGGCCGGAGGCCAGTTCGAGAGTCAAGAGTTGTATTAGCCACGTCATCTGGAATGACTGAATATACTATAGGGCCGTTACCTAAACCAACATACCATAGAAAAATAGAATACCCAAAATGGAGAAAAACGGGTTTAAAATTCACAGATCGTCCTTTTCCAATAGACTCATTCGCTATTGCAAAAACGATTCAACGGGAAGGAAGAAAGATGAAGCAACTCCTTCATGAAAGTTTCAATGGATTTGATTTTGAAGATGACTGCGGTAACAAATGTTTAACATATGATGATTTGAGATCGAAAGTTTTCCAGGGCAATAGATTACTATGGGCTAATGTCCTACGTGTAGTTCCACCTTTGATCGGTTCCATATATGGGTATCCACTACCTCTTCAGATTCTTGTGAACATGACTAGCACAGACTCCGATTCATGGAACGCCGCTAAAGTCTGGTACAATGGTCAACATTTTGATTCTACAGATGATTTGATGGCAAATTACATTAATGGGTCAGTTTCAAAGATTGCCATGTCGTACAATGAAACTGATGTGTATTCCTCTATGAGACGAAGGGGAACTGGTAAAACCAGGATAGCAAAGAGAGGACCAGATTGTTTCCCGCAAGATGGCAGAAGATACTCTGTCGATGGACATCGTGTCAAGTATATGGGCTGGGAATTCGAATTTACTTACCGACAAACCACAGGTCCTCAACTGTTTGATATACAGTTTAAAAAAGAACGAATTGTCTATGAAATGAGCATACAGGAAATATTATTGTCATACACCGGGACGACGACCCCATACGGCAGTCAAGCGGGTGTTTTCTTTGATAGCGAGTCTCTTATTGGGAACTCATTTTCACCTCTGTCACCTGGTGTGGATTGTCCGAAAGGTGCATCCTACTTCGACAGTTCCATTTTTTCATATGTTTTGAGCAAAAATATAGTAATCCCGAACTTATTTTGCATCTTTGAATATAGAGATGACCAAGTTCTGAAACGTCATTATGACAACGATTTTGGTGGAGGGTACGAATTCTATAGTGGTATGCCAAACAATGCACTTGTTCTTAGAAATATCATTTCAAGTTATAATTATGATTATACAATTAGCTTCATTTTCTACCAGAACGGTGTGATAGGTACCAAAGTTTCAGCTTCTGGGTATGTCTTATGTGAATTTACTCATCATAATGTGCCAATAGAAGACCTGATCGGATTTAAACTACATGAAAATGTATTAAGTATGTTCCATCAACACCTGTTTAATTTCAAAGTTGACATGGACATCCTAGGAGAAAACAACAGTCATGAAACGCTTGCTATTAAAGTCAGACCAGTGACTCATGATGTAGTCAATGGTATTTAAGAGGAGACATATGAACAGTTTCTGAAGAGAAAGCAAAAAAGCTCTGAAAGACAAGCTGCCTAGAGGTTCCAATACAGTAAACCAAAATAATACCTCTTCTACAACAACGGAGCACGAAGGAGTAAATTAGGATACAAGAGAGCATATTACCTAGACAACCAAGGCGTCAGCAAATTCCTGTTTCCAGATAAATGGTCAAAAATGGGCTCATCAGCATGGGTAAAGTATCAACTTGCGGTCACAAGACGCCACGTAAGTGCAGTCCATTGATTTACTTACTTCTGCCATATATGACTGTGTTTTTACAAGTCTTTGTTTCTATTATGTTTGATTTTTGAGTAAAATTTAAATCAAACGTGTCTTAAGGTGTCCTCTCGTCTTTTCACTTAATATTCAATTCAAATGCTGTTTTCAAATGCTGATTCATTTCTAACAGGATGACGAGGACACAAGTTCAACACCTTACAATGGTTTTGACCAGGTGGATCCCGTTCTGAATTTCGATTCCTATATTTCCGCTGATGAAAACATAACAGACAAGGTATTGTTGTTGCTTATATGTATATAATGCTTACCCATACTCAGTATTTTCTATTTGGAACTATACTATAATCTACCTACTTTGATATTTCAAAATTAGTTAATCACTTGATATCTCCCTTTTGATCTTCATAAGTATTAATTTTCAGGATCTGGTCGCCTGGGTTACTGTTGGCATGCAACATCTTCCCAACTCTGCGACAGATGTCCCTGTTACAACAACATCTGGAAATACAATTAGTTTCTACTTAAAACCGTTCAACTTTTTTGACGAAGACCCATCTACCTCATAGTATGATAATGTTTTTATAACACCTGGAGAAAATGGTGAAGCTGTTGTTGAAGAGAATGAAAATAATGCAAAGGAAAGCTGCTCACATCCTAATGATGATCCAAACTTTGTTGGAGAATATTGGGTTAAGCAATGATTAATATTAAACAACAATAAACAATTGAAAATGTGTATACTGTTTCATTTCTGGACATACTCTACATGTTAACACAATAAACTTAACATTTTGGAAATTATATTATCTTGTGAATCTTAAGTTAAGTTACAAGTAGTCATATAATCCGGACATAACTTCGTAAATAACCAACTCAATTAAACATTTTGTTTGATATTCAGTGAATCTTACCATCTTTTTAAAATGACAATGCATCATTTTTTGATGTTCAGTTAGTCTTACTATCTTTATAGAGTGACAATGCATCATTTTGTTTGATTCAGTTAATCTCACCATCTTTCTAAAGTGACAATCATCATTTTGTTTGATATTCAGTTAATTTTACCATCTTTCTAAAGTGACAATGCATAATTTTGTTTGACATTCAGTTAATTTTACAATCTTTTTAAAGTGACAATGCATCATTTTGTTCGATATTCAGTGAATCTTACCATCTTTTTAAAATGACAATGCATCATTTTTTGATGTTCAGTTAGTCTTACTATCTTTATAGAGTGACAATGCATCATTTTGTTTGATTCAGTTAATCTCACCATCTTTCTAAAGTGACAATCATCATTTTGTTTGATATTCAGTTAATTTTACCATCTTTCTAAGGTGACAATGCATAATTCTGTTTGACATTCAGTTAATCTTACCATCTTTTCAAAGTGACAATGCAATATTTTGTTTGACATTCAGTTAATTTTACCATCTTTTTAAAGTGACAATGCGTCATTTTTTTATATTCAGTTAATCTTACCATCTTTCTAGATTGTCAATACCATATGTCTCACTAAAGGTGATTAGACGCTTCGGTTTTGTAAATGGTTCAATTTCGATTAATGAGGGCGTTGACTTTCAATATGTTGAAGCCCATTTTCTAAAACGATGTAAATTTAATGCTTTCATATATGATAGTATTTGGCATTCATTCTCTGATGATATTCTCGTCAAAAAGACCATGACAGCGTCTTAGCTCCCCTCATAAAAATCAATGTCAATTTATATCTTATATGTGGGTAAAATATTTTCGCGCCAATGTTCCGTTGAAGCATATTCTGCAGTTTAAAAGTTGTTTTACGTGATCACATTAGAATATATATGATTTTTGTTACTCGCTATTTAGATATTGCTAAAGGAAGATACCATTATATATTGTAACAATATGAAGGAACCGAATATAATATTTTCTGGTGTGAATATGGAAAATAAATCCAAAATGTGGAAAAGTCTTCATCTCCATCAGGGCTTTGTATGGTCGAGCATATTTGAACAAAACACTAATTGTAAATTTGCCGTTTCGCAGACAGAAGTATAGACGGCTTAGACGCACTATCGAAATGAAAAATTCGGTCGGAGGTTGGATCAACCAATATATACCTAAGTAGATGTCTAAATTCGATCTGTATAAAACCTTAGTCTCAGATAAAACTAACCAAGATAAACAATAGGATGAAATTAGACTGGCCAATGTACAATGTAGGGCACTATATTTTGACATTATAATTAAAAGCGAAACGTAATGCCTTGTTGATCTTATCTCAATTTGCAATGTCCCATTACATTTAATCCATCTCAAATTCTCATACATTCCATATTACTTCATATCATCATCACTTTTTATAATGGCTCAACTTGTTACGTGTTAATGGCATGAGAGCAGTGTTTGTATGGAATGAACACCACAATAAGTCCGCATTCATGGCATCAAATTTATAGTTCTATAAAATAAATGCTATATACATGAATAGATGTCTCTGCATACAGTGTCTTTGGGCTTTGATGGGCCTGGTGGGTCATTTAGTACAGTAAGTTGATGGAATAAGTTGACATGGGCAGCTTGAAGTTCATTTCGTTTTCACTTATACTTAAGAATAAAGAATCGGCATGTTCTAAAAAGTGGACTGGCCCCAGAAAAAAGTGGACTGGCCTCTGTGGACTGGAGTCACTTGGCCGAGCCATCTTTTATACACCATCTGGAGAAATTACTAAAAAGTGGACTTAACCCTTTTCACTCTATTGGGGCCACTTTTTAGATTTTCTGCAAGTATTAACTAAAAGGTGGCCTCGAGTATTGTTTACTATCTAAAACTGAATTAAAGCTACCGATATTATTGTTAGTCCGGTTGAAACAGAACTCAAATACTATTTGACAGATTTTCTTCATATTTGGTGGAAAGATGTATTGCAAACGAATGCATTTTAGAATAGGGAACTGAGTTGTCTCTATGAATTCTTTATTCCAAATATGAAATCATTTCTTAATTGACTTGTTTGTCGCATGTATACATCAGTCACAGTCAGGGAAACTTTATTCAAGTATAAACAGTGATAAAAGGAAACATATTTCTAATTTTGGAACTTTTTTGTTGAGATGTAATTTGTGTGTACAATGGCAATATATTTCCATATATATATATAATCACTGTTGTTTCAAGTCAATGGAAATAAGATGTTTTAAGAAAACAAACCAACACAATGCCAATGTCTTAATATGGAAGGAAAGTTTCAATGGATATCAACATTTTAAACTTGTCTTGCTAAAACCATAAATTAACAACAAATTACATGGCAATTTAACAACTTTATTACATGCTTTTGCTTTTTAATCCACCTTTCTACAACTTTGAACAATAAACTACTAGTATAGTCCTGGTAGTAGTACTAGCACTATTCTATAATTCGTACCCTGAATAATTGTATTCCTTGTAAGGAATTGCTATGAATGAGGTAGGCCAAGGTACTGAATCTTAAACATTGAAAATTGTCTGTCTTCAGAAAATTGTATGTTTTATATAATTGTTTACAAGATTATATAATTATAGTATTTACAAGCTTTTACAAGATTCACAAAATTTACTTTTACAGATTTACTAGATTTACAGTTTACCATCATGCATTTGTATGTAATGGAGCTGATGATTGGTTGGCTATAATTCCTGTGTATAGGCGCCCAACCTTTGACTTCACCTATGGGATTATAATCTAAGACTTCAAGATTGACTAAAATTTACGAATTAACCGCTTAAACTAAATGTATAACACTGACATTATAATATCTGATTAGACTGTAACTTATTCATCACAAACATCAATCAGTCATGCAAATGCTCCATTTTTGTCATATTTAAATGTAATTTAGGTATGAAATACAGCAAATGTCCTATCTATTGAATATATACCTTTGATCTGTCTCCAATATAGCCCTTGCAAGCTCAGGTTATATTGATGACAGAAGGCATATATTCAATGATAAGGACATAATGGCTATACATTAAAAAGTGATTGATATCTATTGTTTTAGTTTTCAGTTTCATTTTACAACTGACACAAGTTGTAACATTTCCTTTAATAAGACTATCACGTCGTAATGATTTGAATGTATGCCTGGTATTGGGGGATGGATTTGAGGAAAGCTATGCTGTTGCCCATGTTGAAAATGGTGTGATAATGCTATGTCAACAGATGCCAGGTTTTGCTTAATATACTGTAAAAAAAAGTTGTGTATTGTGTTGTGCAGGTTGTACTGTTGTGCATGTTGTTGTGTATGGTGTTGTACATGTTGTATGTGGTGTTGTGCATGTTGTATGTGGTGTTGTCCATGTTGCTGTGTATCTTGTTGGTGTTGTGGGTGGTGTTGTGCATGTTGTTGTTTATTGTGTTGTGTATATTTCTGTGCATGTTGCTGTAAATTTCGGTGTGCGTGGGGCAATTGCCCAGAATGATGTTGAGATGTGGTAGCTTGTCATGATGATGGTTGGGAGTGGCTTAATTTCTCCATGTATGCCACTGGGTGCTGCGCACTCATATTCGTTCCTCCCTTTCTTCGGCTAGTTGCTTTCATATGTTTAGTACCCCTATAAGTTGGCATATCTACTGTCGCAAGTGCATGGATATTTGCTTTCCTGTGTCCTTTCTTTTTAAATACCTTTAAGAAAGAGGAAAGTGATTTACACCTTTCCATTACTGCAACTGTGTGGGAACATATACCAAAGGTAACATAATTAATACAGTTTTTATCACAACAAGATGGGTATAGGCACAAGCTGCTGTATTATTCTTTACGATCACTGTGTTGGGTTTGTTGGAATCGTGTCCTCCCACAAAATACTTATTTTGTTCCTGGCCAGGATATGGGACGATATCTGTCCTATTGTTGAGATTCCCAGCCTTACAAAATGTTTGATTTAGGGTAGAGAATGGCACAGATATAATACCACTCACAGTTACACTGACAGAGAGGTTGAGTGTGTCAGGTGCGGAGATCGGACTCGGTGATGCTATTTCAAAAGATTTTAATGGTGACTTAAGAACTTTGTTCAGGAGGTTTTTCTTGCTCAGTTCTGTGGTCATTCTGAAGTAAGTGTTTGCTTCTCCTGTTAAGTGTTCATATGCAGGGTCATTCAAGTATTCATCAAGGCCTAAATCTGCCAAATAAACTTGGCGCTGCTGACGCTCTACAAGACGTTGGAGGTGTGTAACTGCTTCAAGCAATGTTAGTTACCTGGAAGCAAGGTCACGCTTGACTGCACTATTGAGACTTTCATTTCCATTCTGTGTATAATTGACTGGAGGCCATCCAAGGCCACACATGGAACGGATGTCCGCCCTCATACTGTCTTGTATATATTCCAGTTTATGGCGTATAAAATAGTCAAAGAACTCATAGCCATTTACATGCCTTTCACACCACTCTTCCCTAAGGCGTTCCAGCTCAATCTTTTTGAGGTTATGAGTATTGGCTTTCAATTGGCTATCAATTCTAATTTTTTCTTCAACATGTATTATAATGACTTCAGTATGAATGAAATGTCCCTTGGTCTTCTGGTCTTGGATTGTGATATTGATTCTAGAATGGTGGGGGGAAAGGGGGTATTAGACATTGTTTCTTTTCACGTTAGATCATGGTTTTAGGCTATATGGGGTTTGTTTTTCTTAACTGGTATGCACTTAGAGTTTGCTTTTTC